CTTAACTTTATATCGGTTTTAAGTCCAAGTGTTTTTTTAAATAAATATAGCGATACATTCAATCAAAGAAATATTACAAAAGATCTTCAAAGAGAACATCTTGAATGATATCGAGAGGATTCCCACACCATGAAGACAAACCATCTAGTGACGAAGCATATTTGTCTAAAGGAATTAATATTTAGTGAAGGTAAAGTGGAAAATTTCCAAAGGAACAAGGTTTTGAATAATTACTAAACATAATTGTTTCCTTTTTTATATATACCAGATGAATACACACAATGACTATTTTGGAGTGTCAATATCAACTTCCAAATTATTTTCCTTCGTATAACCATTTTTCGATAATTATTCATCTTTCTTTTCCCCTTTATTTTTTTTTTCATTTTTACTTGGTAAGGAATAATTAAATAGTTCTATTTTTTTATTTTTTTATTTTTTTTTAGTCATAATCAATCAATGTTCATTCAAAACTCTATAAATGGGAAAGAAAGAGAATATAAGAGTTGAAAAGGCCAAATACATGAACAAATTACCACAAACACATGAAAAATTAGACTAAAACTAGTACAATTTAGTATAATAATCTTCCTCGTCATGTCAAAGTTGAACATTGTGGTGACCTAGTAAATTATATTGGTTATATTGTCCTTAATTAATATAGACCTATAAATATAATTTTCTCATTACATTTCTTTTTATATATAGATATGAAGTTTCGAATTTGAGATTTCTTTCAAAATTAAGAAGTATTACTAAACTAATAGCTAGTTGGTCTCACTACATTAAATGATAATTATTGTGAGTTGTTTGAACTATTTTTAAAACAATAGTTGTGTTTGATTTCTATTGCTACTTTCTCTTTTTTTACCAAACATTTCTATTTGCTACTCTAATTCGTTGGTTTGTCTAATCAAATATTAATTTGATGTGTAGTCGATTAGCCATGTGATTTTAAATTTAATTATTCATTTTAATAACTTTATTTACGCGTTGTTTTGTACTGCTAGTTAGGCATTTGATACTATGACACATGGGTTGAGATAAAATCCTTTTTTTTTATAAAAAAAATTCTATAATTGGATTGGGAAAGAATTGTTGATAAAATATTTGGGATGAAAGCAAAAGCAACTTCCATTAAAATAAAATAAAATAAAATAAAAGTAAGATGGTGGAATTTCATTAACAAGTAAAACAGCCACATTTAGTTTGTTCTGGGTTGGACGTTGTTTGGGGCTCGTTTGGGAGTGCTTCAGGAAGGGATAAAAGTGCTTTCTGACAATCGAAAACACTTTTGATGGCATTTGGCAGAAAAGTTTAGAAGGCGTTTGGCAGAAAAATTTAGAAGTGTTTTTGGGCCATAGAAACGCTTTCTTGAGAAGCACCTGCCATGTGCTTCTTGAAGAAGCACTCCCAAGATGTTTTATGAAATTTTCAACAACTTATAATAAAAACGTTTTTGTTATAAGCGCTTATGAGCAAAAGTGCTTCCTAAAGAAGCAATCCCAAATGAGCCCAGCAAACTAGATTTTGGTTAAACACCAAAGAAATCAAATAAAAACAATTAAATTTGGGTTTTAGGTGATGAGTCGAAATCACAGTCGTCCACCCCTAGATTGAATGGCTGGTTGGAACATGCATTGGAGCAAAATTAATGATTATGAAATGTGATTCCTATAAAATCTCAGACAATTTCAATTTGGCCAAGCCAAGACCACAAACCTGGCTGGTGGCTTTAAATAGGAATTTAGCAGTCTTTTTCTCTCACGTCATGATTCATGCAACTAGGGTCCCAGAAAATTAAGCCAGACACACTCAATTAATATAATAATGATATTAATTTATTTATTAATAAAGTTTCCATCGTTCCGTCGGGATTATCTCAAAATATAATAGTGATATTAGCTTATTTATTCTGATTAAAAAAGATTAATAGGCCATTTATTCTAAACTCATAGAGCAACTTTTCTTTGAAAAATCGTTTTGAAGATGACAGATCAGTGAAGCAAGGAAATCGCGAGGATCTATCAGCTTTTGTTTTTAGTGTCATTTTAATTCTTCCATTGGTTTATTTATTTTAATGGAATTTGTCATGACTCACCATGGATGTGAGTGACTGATTGCAAGTATGATGATGATTGCAATGCATTAAGGTTTTGAAAATGATTGGATTGGACGACTTGTTTGGGGGAAATGAAAGTCTAAATATTATTCTTAAATCATTGCAGCTAGCAGCTTGTAATTTCATGTTTGGTGTCCGCAGAAGTGCAAGATGATGAGTGAAGAACGTGAATGAAAATAATAACTATGCCCTACAATCTATCTTATATTACAAACATAATTATCATAGTTTCCTACTTCTTGTTAAATATGATAAACAAAATGTCAACTATATTCTATAATGCATTTGTAACTCGAGCGACCGACCAATAGCATGAGTAACGCATTAGTAACTCAAATGATTAATAGCATTTATTTAAGTGCCCGATATCCCATGGAACATTTTTTTTGAAGTGTCAATAATATCTCCAAAAAAAAATTACACAGTATGCGTGATTCATCTATTATATCGCGTGAACATATTTTTATTGGTAATCTATTGCAACTCATCACGACAACATAATTTAAAGATTTCCCTTGTTAAAAGAAGGAAAATAAATCATAACTAGAAGTCTTCAACTTATTTATTATTGAATTCTATAACAAAAATGATGTATTTGCTTTTATGTTGAAGACATATCAAGACAACACAATGACTGACTTTAAATAAGTTGAAGATCAATCAATTTATATGCACCACTAATATGGTTTGCATTGCATCAACTTTTTCCTTGGTGGAACCACTGGTGGTGGAGAACATGATTCAATTCCATCCATATAAAAATGTTGTGAAAATGCATGAATGCGATATATGATTTCTTTTCTATATAAAATAAAATACAATGATGATTATATATCCATACGTTTTACTTCTCATTTATCTTGTTCAAAAGATTAAATATTTTTGCGTGCGTGCGTGCGTGCGTGCGTGCATGCATGCAGCAACATAACAAGTAGAAATTTGTAACTACTATTACTATTACTATTCCTCTTTTTTTTAAAGAACCTCTATGATATGATACGAAGGAAACTTTATTAATCATCAAAATGAAAATGAGGGCAACTTAAAATCTTACCCCTATTACTATTCCGTTTTAAAAAAGGAATCTTTGGGGAGAGTAACCTAACCACCGAGCCTATAATTGTTGTGTGATTAAACAAATATATTACTTAGTTTTTGGTTTAGTCATACTTTTATTTCCAATATTGAACGAGATCCCAAACTGGAATCATTCCTCTCTGGTTATAAAGAATTAGAGCATCTTCAACGGTAGTAGCTTTCATGATAATTAATTAACCTATATATAAACCTAATAGCCCAGCTTTCATGATAACTAATTAGCCTATATATAAACCAACCTACCTAAAATGTGCGCTAATTAATTACATTCGCCTACAAGGTTGGTGGTTAAAAGGAAGAATTGCTAGTGTGTGCACCATGCCTGGAAAATGATGTCGTTGTTGTTCTCTTTTAGAGCATTTACAATCATGCTCCCTATTTTGTAGTTAAAATTTAGCTAAAAATACACACAAATTATTTTAGAAGCTCTTTATAAAATTTGAACTCCAATCATACTCCCTAGTTTAAGGGGTCATAAATACTATAGTTATTTTATCATTTAATACGATTGGTCCATCTCTATAAAAATTGATATAAAAAAAATATTTAGTATCAATTAAGAATTTAAACTATGCATAAAACAAAGAGGTTTCTCTCTTTCCTCAGATTTAGGAGCTCTTAGAGGTTTCCCTATTTTAGGAGGTAGATAGGGAGTATGATTGGAGTTGAATGTTTCCAATTTCTCTCTAAAATTTATTTAAGGAGGTGATTTAGAGAACTCATTGTGGATGCTCTTAATTAATATAAATATATAAAGACATGAAGAAGTCGCATGACTTAAAATAGTATGAGATTTAGAAGCCTCAGCTAATAGTTTGCTTGTATTGTACTTATATTAAACAACAATATTTAACTTAGAATATATCTTACAAGATGACCACTATGCTACAACTATATGCAAATGAAAATTAGATATTTGCTAGGTTTTTGGCGTGGCTAGGCAACTTAAGTTACATTGCAAAGGACCCACTGGTAGTGGTTTGGAGTAAATACTTCTCCAGGAAAGATTTTGAGTTCGAGTCCTAACATCCGTGTAATGTGTGCGAATTTAATATGGTACTGTCCATTTCAATAGAAAATGTCGTAAAAAACAAAGTTATAAGAATATTAGCTAGGGAAGGCCCAATTGGGCAAACTTATAATTATTCACTTCACAAATGTGCAAATTCTATGGAGAGACACGAATTTGCTAACCAGACCCAACATGAAGTTTGACATGAGGAAAAAGAAACTCGGTGCAGTGGGCATGGCAGTTTGAGTTGCTCGGGTGTGTGATTGGCTGGGGATGCCATTGTACCTGCATTTTAACTTTCTTATATGTCTTATATCACTGTTGTTAAAGACGGGCCGAAACCGAAATAGACGTGTATACAATAGGCGTATAAAACCATCACTGCTGGCTAGTCAATGAAATTTGTTCTATAAACACAAACGAAATGTATTGCAATTTCTTTTGGCAAATCCAAAAAGAAAAAGAGACTGCATTTCCATCATAGCTCGAGCCTCTCCATTTGGCATGTGTTCACTTAAGGTAGCTAAACATAATTGCAGGCTGGAACTGGAGACAATAGCACACATCACAGTCACATCTCAATCAACCAACATGTAAATGAACCCCATGACAAAATCAACAGTAAGTTCTTGTGATGTTAACAACTGTAAAAGGTAGAACAACACAATTTAGATGGGGACTATAGGCTTTTTTATGACATAAAAGATTAGAATTGCATACCCAAGCAGGCATTCTGTAAACAATGATAATTAGTTTTTAGGCAAAGGCAAAGTCAATTGTGTAACAGAATTACAGAAACATAATTAACAAGGGAATTTCTAACACTGTCTTGAGCATGAGGAAAATCCTGCCAGCTACTTCTCAAAAGGTGTCCTTAAAGATTTCAAACATGTAAATTATAAAGATCGAGGACCTTACAGTGTTTACATAGATCCAACGATACTTGACAATGAAACACAGGAGTGGAGGAAATGCGAAAGGGAAATGAAACCATATAACACTATGTTTAGAGGATTGCATTGCTTTTGTATTTTCTTCAAAGGAGTGATAAGAGATTAGCCTAATATCTTGAACTTCGCTGTTAAAACCTACTTACATCTCTCAGCACACCAAAATTGTCAGGGAGACCAACTATTACTGGCAACAAATTGCCTAGAAACCAAAGAAACCAAGCTCACTGGCTCTTTCTTTCTCGAATGTCTCGAAGTACTGATAGATGATTGTCACTGCAAGCAGAATTCCTGTTCCTGAACCAATTGCACCCATGAAATCGGCCAACACTGTCAGTGCACCGATGCACATGCCTCCAAAAGCAGCAGCTGTGGGAATGTAGCGGTTCAACTCCTTCTGCAAGTTTGATTCACGATGACCAGGCATCACCATTTGTTGTTCCTGCAAATTAGAAAGGGATATTGTTAGCATGATGCTTAGCTCTGTGTATAATCCGTAAAGTTCTGATTGAAGAATTGTTCAAAAGCATCTTTATTATATAAATAGTGCATCCGGTATGAATATAATTTGAGGATGATCTGGTCATTAAACTCAAGAGCATAAAGTGAAACAAATCATAAGAAATATATTAGACAATACATAAAGGGTAGGTATCTAGCCACACTAACCCCCTCATTTGCAAGAAAGAGATCTCAACAAAAATATAAAAACTTTCTTTGATCTATTAGAGAATACATAACTAAACTATTCAGATTTAATACCTTGAGCTGCTTGGCAACATCCTTGGCAGAGGATCCAGAAACTTCAATCCATGTTTTCGAGAAAAGTGCACAGGCTGACAACATGAACACAAGATAGAAAAGTGCATGGAAAGGATTGGCTGCCATATCAGCTAAGCTGCAAAACATTATAGCAACATATCAATTGAAGCACACATAATCATCAGGTTTACCAACAAAATTGCAAGCTTTATGAGGCAGAGTAAATAAAGGAAAACATTCTAAATTACCTTGAAGGTGCAGTGATATAATATGCAAGACCACCGACAGGAACGAATTGTCCACCTGAATATTCAGACTCCTTCCACTTACCCAAAAGATTCACAAGGAAATTTCCACTGTACCTCCTGTACAGCAACTGTACGTAAACATTTGAAAAAGCATCGTTACAATAATATACATTAGAAGAAAGTCCCCAAACTGCCCACACAAACATTTAAATCTCCAGTACCTGGGAGATGAAGTAAAGGTTGGAGACAAGTGCAGACTGCAAAATGATGGGCATGTTGGAAGTGTAGAACAGCTTGATAGGATAGGAACCCTGCTGTCCACGAGCATTCTTTGATCTCACAGGTAGAACCACACGGAACCCTTGGAAGTAGATTACTATTAGGAAGATCAACACTGTCGCAAGCAGATTTGTCACATTTGGAAGATTCTGCCGGTAAAAGGCCTCACGAAGAGCTCGAACCTTATCTGTTCGAGTTATCAGCAGATGGAACAGGGCAATAACAGCACCTTCAAATTCAGCTCCTCGCCCACTGTTGATAGTGGTGGGACTAAACGCTTTCCAGATAATGTTTTCACTGAAAAGGAATTATATAACTTTTTAAGTACTCAAAATTTGAAGTAGCATATCAGAAAATTTCCACAAAAGAATGAACAGACTGTAAGTTGTTATGCAAAAGATCATAACTAGGCAAGAAAGGATTACAAACTCACTCACCAGATATTGGTGGCAATGAAAAGGGAAATTCCAGAGCCTAGACCATATCCCTTCTGAAGTAGTTCATCCAAACATATCACAATTATACCAGCAAAGCAGAGCTGAATGATAATGAGAATGGCATTTCCAACTCCAAGTTGGCCAACACTACCATACATGCCTGAGAGAACATAGGCAACTGCCTCACCAATAGCTATCAGGATGCCCAATAACTTCTGTGCTCCATTCCTGGGAAGAAAAATGGAAATCATCACATGGAATACAAATAGCAATATGCTAAATATTAAAGCCACCCATAGTGATCACAATTAACATGCGCCATTTTTCTTAGGCTTAGTTTCCAAAATATTTCCAAATACAGTTTTTAGAAAGCAGTACAACAATGGCACTACAATTTCTTAACCCAAAACTAAAAACATATTCTAAAAACAATAACTTTTCCAGCTTTCCAGCCTGTTATGAACACCCTTTGGGCTGCATTGATTCCAAATAGTACGCAAACGAACAAATCAATACATATTAACCCAAATTAAATTCGAAGGCCTCAAGATATATACTTACAAAAGAGCACGATCTTCGCGTACATTGTTGTCCACTTCAATAATCTTAGACCCAGCAAGGAGTTGCATGACCAGCCCAGATGTGACAATTGGGGTGATCCCAAGCTCCATGACAGTCCCTCGATTGGAAGCGAGAATAACACGCATCCAATAGAAGGGATCTGCACCAGTGGTGGAGTGTATGCCATACAGAGGAAGCTGGCTGCAAACCAAGAAAATGAAGAGCGAGATCACGGTGTATATCACCTTCTCTCTGAATGGGACTTTCCTGTCAGCGCTCTGAACTTCTGGCAAAAACGAAAGAAAGGGCCTGACCAAATGAAGAACTCGAAATCCACCTCCCATGTTGCTTCGTCAAGGCTAATCACCTAATCCAAAACACCATTTGAGACCAGGTCAAAAAATTTTGAATCAAAAAACAAAATTGGTTTGGAAAATCTGGGCATTATGCTTGTGGTGATTTAGATCCAGCTGATTCTTATGAAATTCAGAAATAGAAACACAATCACACACATGCATATCACCTACAGTCACACACAATTACATCAGATCCAAACAAAGATCAATTTCAGGTTAAGAGACTGACCGTGCAAACCCCAATTTGGGAGCTCGAAACCCCAGAAATGGGTTTTCTTCTCTGGTGGGAAAATCCGATCTGAGAGAGCTATTATCGGATTTTGGATCTCGACCCGAAGCTGAAAACGAGAAATGGACTTCAAAGGCTTGGGCGTTACAAATAAAGGTGGCCTGCTTGTGAAAGTGGGACTTGGTCGCCACGAGGTCAAAGCCAATCAATGATGGACACGTGTCTGTATAAATGACGTGGGAAAAGATACCATACAGAAACAGAATTTGGAACTGTATTTTAAAGATGGATCATTCCCAAAAAAAAAAAAAAATTATAACGGTTCATTTTCTCTTTTTATACATTAGTCCATAATGCTGATAGATTTTAGTTTTTTTTTTTTAAAGCCTTTCACGAATTGATAATTCCACATAATAGGGTAATGTTTTAGAATTTCTCCTTCTCAAGACAGTCTCAAATAAACAAGGCTGATTATGGCAAAATTTAACAATACCTCGTAAGAAGTTATAGATCTTATTCTACTCTGCCTCTAAACTTTCAATTTGATTATGAGCTCCCCTAAACTTTCAATTCGTGCCAAATGTCCTGATGTGATTCGTTATGTCAATTATTTTGTTAAATTGAGGGTCATTTTCGCTCATTCAAGTTCATACTTACTTTGACCTACTTTCACCATACCCTAAATGTACAAGATATTAAAATTCCTAACAACGGTTTTACCAAACATGAGAATGATTTCTTATACCTATTTATTCCCATGACTCTAATCCATGAATCACCGAGCCTTAACATTTTTCATCCCACTTTTGCTGCTCAATTAGATTCCTAAACGTTGGACCAAAAATTATTCATAAGATCCAAAATTGGGGTAAATGCTTGGTTACATCGCCAGTTAACTTATATACCCCTTAAAGTTAGTTATAAATTACATACGATGAAATCAAACACAAAACTGTGACATAATTGACGGTTAGGTGAATACTGGCATAAACTGAAAGTTTTGGGGCTCAAATCAAATTAAAAGTTCGAAAAGTTAAACAAAGTTCAAAGTTTCATGGAGCATTGGTAAAAAAAAAATTTGTTCTCAATTAAAGTAGAAGATAATTATCCCAGTAATTATTTTTTCCTCCCTAGAAAAAACTCACTTTCCGAAAAAGTGAAAAGGAAAAAAAAAGAAAAACGAGAAAGCGTAGAGATTAAAAAAGATCCAAGGAGAGAGAGAGCGTGAAAAACACTAAAAAGATCCAAGGAGAGAGAGGTGCGTACCGCCTGTCAGTCACCATAATCAAGCTCCCCAAGTACTGAGCAAAAACACGGAGCCCCAGTAGGTACTTTGCTTCCAAAACCCAAAATTTACAAAACGCAGCTGCTCTGCAATTCAAATCAAAGTCATGATTTCCTCGTAAACCTACTTATACTTGAAAATTCAAACCAACTTGCTCATCTCTCTTCCTCAGTGCAATGAGAAATTCACTTTTCTTTCTCACTCTCCTAACACTCACTGTCGCTTACTCCCTCCAATTCCAAGCTCACGCTGCTCCTGCAGGTAACTATCACTCACCAACTTCTCTAACTCTCTCTCATGCTTTGGGTTCTGTGTTTGATCTGTTGGGTTACTGGGTATGCTTTGTTTCCTCACTTGCTTCTCTTATGAATGTATAGCGTTATTATATAGATAATTAGATACCCAGTTCTTAGTTTTCTTGATTCTACTAAATTTGTTCTCTTTATTCTGATATTCCCAAATAGCTTTCTCTCACTCATACACATGGTAATGATAATATGTTGGCTTCCTGTGATCTGCATATATACATCATGGGTTTTTTAGTTTCTTACTATTACTTCACTTATGATATGGTTTTGAATGAACTGTTTGCTCAGGGCCATTAATAAAACACTTGTCTTCTCTTCTCAAGTGGACCAGGGAAATATCCTCCAAAACACCGCAATCAGGTAATTTGAAGTGACTTATTAGAATATTTGGTTCTTTTTCTTGAACTTTATGCTTAATTGGCATAATTTCTGTACAAGTCTTTTATGGTTCATCACTTTGTTGTATTGCAGATGGGAATGTTCTTCAATTTGAGAATGGTTACTTAGTTGAGACTGTTTTGGAAGGTAACGACATTGGAGTAGTTCCTTACAAAATCCGCATCTCAGAGGATGGCGAACTCTTTGCCGTGGACTCCGTTAACAGCAACATTATGCGGATTACTCCGCCTTTGTCCCAATGTATGCAACAATACTTATGCTGTTTTACCGTATTTGAGATTGTTCCCTTCTTTTCCCTAACTTGATATTTAAATTTCCATTTTTACTTTTTTGACATTTTTCTATTTCAGTTTTGTTTCTTTTGGCCAGATGAAAGTTTTCGGTATCAATAAATTTGATGCTCATATTTTCTTTTACTTTTGCTCGTTTTTATATTGTTGTAGAGGGTGGTTTGACTGTGGAATTCAATATCGTTGAGTTTTAGAGTAATATGAACATTTCATGACTGCAGATAGTAGGGGAAGATTGGTTGCTGGGTCATTTCAGGGTTACACAGGACATGTTGATGGAAAGCCAAGTGATGCTCGTTTCAATCATCCCAAAGGTGTAACTATGGATGATCAAGGGAATGTATATGTTGCTGATACCGTGAATCACGCCATAAGAAAGATTGGAGATGCTGGTACATCAGTACATGTAGTTCTTGTTACTTTCATAGTTAGTTAGAAGCTTATACAGATGTATGCTGGCAACAAGTGAACTAAGGAAAAATATCAAATTTCTTTATGTATGTATGGCGTGTATTTATGTTGAATTAGCAAAACTAAAGTATGGAAATATAACTTGTACACGGGAATGTAAACTGTAAAAATTCCGAAGTTTTCTAGATTCTTTTTATTGAAAACCTTATTTACAAATTCCAATAAAAAGATTGAGTGGATTTTGTATAAATTATATTGTTCACATTCTTATACAAACTTTTTGCAGGTGTGACAACCATTGCGGGTGGGAAATCAAATGTTGCAGGCTACAGGGATGGGCCCAGTGAAGATGCGATGTTCTCAAATGATTTTGATGTGGTATATGTTCAATCCACTTGTTCCTTGCTAGTTGTTGATAGAGGAAATGCTGCTCTCCGGCAGATCTCTCTCAACCAGGAGGATTGTGATTATCAGTACAGTTCAATTTCTGCAACAGGTTTGATCCGATGTTGCTTATGTTTACTTTTCATTCATTAATGATGACATAAAAGCTCTATAACTCATGTTTTGGCTGTTATGGAAATGGAAATAGCTACACCATGCAATGTGTCTAGGAAGGCATACTCACTGATCTTCATGTGCATATGTACTATCCCTAGAATTTGCATAGGATATGCATAGCTGTTTTTCCTTTTAGTTTATGCAAGTGTGATTTCACATATTCTACTTTATGATGAACATGCACAATGATTTGATCAGTTAGCTTTGCTGACAAATGCTTATCATTGTGTAATATTTAATTTGATACTGTAAATGAGAGAGATGTCAAATAGAAGGTCTATGTCTTGGAGTATCCAAAGAAAAACCATGCTGTTATGGTCAAACTTTAAAGTTCTTATTATTAAGAAGCAGAATGTGTGGAAGATGATGGCCCATAAGTTGCCCTATCAGCTCAAATGTAGTATATGGCCATTAACTGATCAATGGGGACATAAAATAGCAGAGATATAGCAGCCATTTGACATTTGTTGACATAAAATTAAAAGTTCAATTTGATGAATTCTTGTGTCGGCTGGATGTAATCTGGATTGAGGAATACTCTTTATGAAGATTGGGTGTTCACTTCATTGTAATTCTTGATGTGTAGGATGTCTCTATATGTTTGTTAAAATTGTTTCCTTTGCAGACAGTTATATGGATATTAAGAAAGTAAATTCATTTCTAAGCTAGGAATAAGCATCACTATGCTAGTAGAAGCCAAATGAAATAGGGCATGAGCTTAGAGAAGTAGTTTACTGGTGTCTAGACCGTTGCTCATATAACATTATACTCATCATCTTCATCAATGTCATACACTCAGCTTTTATTGTACTGATGGTAGGGGGCTTTGGAAATCAGACACTTCCTTGGCCCAGCATCATATCAGGTTGCAATTTCAATCATATTTCCTGGTGCATATTTAGATCCCATGGCACATGTGACATGTGAATATGTAAGTATGGGTGGAAATGAAGGGTTATGGTTGGTTTGAAGTTTTGAACAGATTAAAATGGACTGACATAGAGCTACAGTTCAGCAAATGCTATCATTAAACATTATCAAATTCAAAATTATGTTCATATTGTGTAACTTAACCGCAAATAGACATCAAGTTTTTACATTGTGTGAAACAAATATAGACATTATATGTATATGTAAGGAGGAAGCACTAATCGGGAAACCTATTTGAGACAACGGTATTGTGCAACCAGTATAGAGGATATGATTCTGTTTGACATTCTCCTTTTTGCACAAGATATATGTAGTGTGTTCAGTTTCTTTCAAAGACACAGATTTTGTTAATGATTTGCTTCTCTTTGAGTGTTTCTAATAAGCTTGTTATAATCCTGCATTATATGCGGCATTAAAATATCTGATATTTATGATGTTTCATGATGACGAGAGCTTCAAATTCTACTTCAGATTGTGCTGCCTCTTTCTGACTGACATTTGTGGGTCTTTTTGGCAGATTTGCTTATGGTTGTTGGTGCTGTCTTGGTAGGGTATGCTACATGCATGCTTCAGCAGGGATACGGACCTTCTTTCTTCTCAAGAACGGTATACCTCTTATGATCTACTAATGCAGAAACATTGTATTTCAAAGCTTGTCCTTGAATTTTACCAAAATTTGATCTAGTCATGAATTTTACCAAAATTTGATTCATTTTCCACCCATCTCAGCTAATAAATGCATTACAAGCAAAACATGTTATTTAGTCAAATATTTCTGCCCTTATTTTTTTTCATTACTGCTTGTGCATGCTTCAGTATTCACAATTCTCTCTTTCTTTTTCCTTTTTCTTTTTTCTTTCAAAGCATTCGCTAATCTCTGAAGTCGCCTTTTCTCATGGAAAGGAAAAGTATGCTTCTGTGGTTTTACCATTTGTAAAAGTTTTTCCTTGG